CTTAGTAAAAACTCTTAGTAATGAGCCATAAGGAACCTGAACAGACCATCATCTCTAACCAGGCTAGGTTTCCAGTGAACGGTTTGGGACACCAACTCAGCCATAAAACCTTCTACCTACAAATTGTCCTGCCTGCCAGATGTGCTTGTGTAAAGGTGGAACATAAATTGTAAGAGTGAGAAACCAGTGAGTAGTCTGGCTTTAGACTCAAGCTGCATATTTTAGCCTAACCCTGACATTGCCTAGAAGGTCAGGTACCAGAGTCTGGATAGCCCAGAGATCTAGGGTAGAACCAAACATGTGGGGAAAAAAAAAAAAAATATATATATATATATATATATATATATATATATATATATATGAGCATAGCATAATCATAATCACAGAGGTTTCCCTCAGAAATTGACGGTAGCCAATGCAAAGACCCTCAACCAAAAATTAGGTGGAGCTCATAGAATCCTGCAGAAAATGAGTAAGAAGTATTGAAGGATCCAGAGGAGTCAAGGACATCACAAGAGAATGGCCCACAGAATCAAATAACCTGGGGTGATAAGGCCTCACAGAGACTGAATTGACAATCAGGGAACTTGAATGTCTTAGGTCTTCTGCATATATCTTATGGTTGTTTAGCTCTGTCTTCTTGTGGGACTCCTACCAATAGGAGCAGGGGCTGTCTCTGACCCTTTTACCCTTTTTTGGAATCCTTTTCCTTCTCCTGGGTTGCCTTCTCAAGCCTGATATGAGTGTATGTGCCTGATATTATTGTAACTTATTATACCATGTCTGGTTGATATTCCTGAGAGACCTGAACTTTTTCTAAAGGGAAATGGAGAAAGAGTGGATTCAGAGTATAGGTGAGGTGAGGAGAGGCTAAGAGGAATAGAGGGATGGGAAATGTTGTTGAGATGTAATATGAGAGAAGAATAAAAAATATTAACATGATCACCCATGAGGGAAACACTAATGAAAAAACTTTGAAATTTAGAATGTCCACTGTTTTTTTTTTTTTTTTGTTAAATGCTGATAGATGACCAGAATGAGAAGATCAAAAACTCAAGTGACAATACATGCCGGAGAGGATGTGGAAAAAGGGGAACAGTCCTCCATTGCTGGTGGGAATGTAAACTTGTACAACCACTTTAGAAATAAGTCTGGTGCTGTCTCAGATAATGAGGAATAGCGGTTCTTCAAGATCCAGCTATATCACTCCTAGGCATATATCCAAAATATGCTCAAGTACACAACAAGGACATTTGCTCAACCGTGTTCATAGCAGCTTTATTAGTAATAGACAGGACCTGGAAACAACCCAGATGTCCTTCAACTGAAGAATAAATGGATACAGAAATTGTGTTACATTTACACAATGGAATATTGTTCAGAAATTAAAAGAAGGAAATAATGGAATTTGCAGGCAAAGGTGGGATCTAGAAAAGATCATCCTGAGTGAGGTATCCCAGAAGCAGAATGACACACATGATATATACTCACTTATATGTGGATATTAGACATATAATATAAGATAAACATACTAAAATCTTTATGTCTAAAGAAGCTAAGCAAGAAGGAAGACCCTGGGTAAGATAATCAATCCTCATGCAGAAAGACAAATGGGATGGACATTGGAAGAAGGTGAAAATAGAAAATAAGACAGGAGCCTGTTGTTTCACCTCCTTGTGAATTTAACCCATTGTGCTGAGCTGTTTTTACTCTGGCTTAAAAGCTCTCTGCAATAAAGCCAGCCAGATGGTAGAGTATAGTCTCCACTAGAACCTCTAGTCAAGGTCCCATGTGTTGTGTGTTAGTTTATTAATTTTAATCCTCCCTCCCAACTCAAGAACCATTTGACTCTGCTGGTGGGCTCTGGCAGGAGCCTACCACAGAGGGCCTCTGAAAGATTCTACCCACTGGTATATAAAAGCAGATGCCAAGACTCATAACCAAACTTTGGGCAGAGTGCAGGGAATCTTATGAAAGAAAGGGGAGATAGTTAAACCTAGAAGGTACAGGAACTCCACAAGGAGAGCAACAGAACCTACAATGCCGGGCACAGGGGTCTTTTCTGAGACTGATACTCCAACTGTGGACCATTCATGGAGATAACCTAGAACCTCTGCTCAGATGTAGCCCATGGCAGTTCACTATCCAAGTGGGTTCACTATTAAGGTGTCCTCATTAAGTGGATGGCTCTTTGATCACCTCACTCTGGGGAGGGGGGTGCAGCCCAACTATGTCACAGAGGAAGACAATATAGCCAGTCCTGATGATGCCTAAAAGGCTAAGATCAGATGGAAGGGGTGGAGGACTCCCTCTATCAGTGGACTTGGAGAGGGGAATGGGAGAAGATGAGGGAGGGAGGGTGTGATTGGGAGAGGAATGAGAGAGGTTGCTACAGCTGGGATACAATGTGAATAAACTGCAATTAATATAAAAAAATTAAAAAAATAGAAACAGTTTATATGTATACCAACTTATACATAGAAAATGAAAGTGCCACACGTATGGAAAATGGAATTTTATTCATCTATATAGAAAAAAACTAAAATTAAGAAATTGTCAGGTAAATTGGAGCTAGATATAAGCATTCTGAATAACGTAACCCAGACCCAGAATACAAACCCTACATGTTCTATCTCAGATACGGATGCTAGATTGGAAACTTAAATATGTTTGTTTAAATTGGGGTGACCATAGAATCAGGAAACTAGTAAGGGACTTTGTAGAGGAGATCAAGGAAGGGGAATAGAACACAAATGGTATAAAGGGGAAAAAGGAATAAAAGAACAGGAAGGATTAAATGAGGTGGAAATGGGTGGACAGAGTAGATGAGGAAGTGTAGTGAGGGATAACTAACAATAAAGACCTTTAAAAAAGTCATGTGGAAACCTACCAGTGCAGAAACTTAGTAATTATTGTTGTACACACATATAAATATAGTTTACCTGCCTTTATCAGGAAAAGTATCACAATGCCTTTCCCAGACAACAAATAAAAACCCTAGTGCCATGCATGGAGTACTATGTTATTGGATAATTAGGTCATATAGACCTCTTTAAACATTACAAAGTACTGCCATTATTCTTGGTTGCCCTCCAGAAATTGTTGGTAAGACTGTGAAGACACCTCATACTTAAGTTGTAGCACATGGAAAATTCAAACTGGCACTGACCTGGAAGCTTCATCTCTTCCTGCTAACTTTCAGAGAACTGGAAAGTGTTATGTATGCTACTGGGAGACAAAAATATTAACAGTCTTACCCAGCTATAAACCCTCTGAATGTGAATAATGATTGGTCTGGCAAGATATGTCCAGTAGTTCAGTAGTGGCATGAATATAATGAAACTAATCCACCACTTTGTATCAACATTTAAGGTTCAGTCCACAAGATTAAACTTATCCTTGGTTTCATTAAACGTCCATACCTGGTACTTGGTTGGAGTATGAGTCTCTGCGAAGACCCCTGTGTTCAAATTTTCTGGTTCTGTTGCTCTCTTTTTGGGGTTCCTGTCCTCTCCAGATCTTACTATTTCCCACTTCTTACGTAAGATTCCCTGCAATTTGCCCAACAGTTGGCCATAAGTCTCAGTGTCTGCTTTGATAGTCTGCAGGGCAGAACCTTTCAGAGGCCATCTGTGGCAGGTTCCTAGGTTGTTTCCTGTTTTCTTCTTCTTCTGATGTGTCCTGAGTGAGCCGTCCCAGAAGCAGAGGGACACACACAGTATATACTCACTCATATAGACATATAACATAGGATAAACCTACTAAAACCTGTACATCTAAAGAAACTAATTAAGAGAGAGGACCCTGACTAAAACGCTCAATCCCCATCCTGAAAGGCAAAGAGGATAGTTAAAGGATTCTTATCAATGAGAAACAAAGCAACAATTAAATACCTTTAATAAAAGGAACTGAGAGAACCACATAGAGTCCCACCCCTCCTAGCAGTCTCAGAATTCCTGAGCATTATTTACATGATGTGACATACTTTCTCCTATTATGACAAAAGTGGACTTAGAGTTTGGCCTCCTGTATGTTACATGTATATAAGGTACCAATTCATCTTAGACATACTGCTAGGTTTGACTAAAGGCCACTAAATATACTACAGGCTATTAGGAGAATCAAACACTTCTTAACAGTGAGTATTTCACAGACTCTATCTTTTATTCTCAGCCTCTGGAGAGATGAGAAAGGAATAGCTAGTGAATGACCTCTTATTACCCCAATCTTGGAAGCTAAGTGTAGTGTTGTCTTCACTATGAGAACATAGACCACAGGATAGAAGTGTTTAAAATGAGCTTAAACCCTTACCAGCCACGAAAAAAAAAATGACTAAAGGGAGTGTATACAGTAGCTAAACACATGGTATAACAAATAATCTAACCTTGCTCCCGGTTCTAAACTTGAAGACTCAGATCAGGGTTGTGAAGCTCCTCCCCTAACTACTACTTATTATAGCAAGTGAGGTGAGGTGATATCATTAAACTAAATATGAAGCCACAATTGAAATTAGGGTACAGATGTCCTCAAGAGCTATATGCTCATATAGGGACTATGGAAAAGTTTTAGTCACCCCAGAGAGCCCAAGAAAAAATTTCTTTTCTCCTGAGCTAGCATTGCAGAGTTCAGAATGGGAATGACAAACTGAAGAGTCCCTTTACTTTCCTTGTCTTGGTATCCAAGGAGAAATGTCATGCCAGCAACAGAAGAATAAATAGTTCTGATGTTTTACTGTCAGCCAATGACTGAGGCAGTACCTACACGCATCACTCTAATTTGTATTCCTTTGCAAGTTTCTGAACACATCAGGGTGATTGGGAGGACAGGAATACTAGATTGGTTAAGACTCACCACAGAAACTACAAATGCCATATTCCTTAAAGCTATGGTAGAATTTACATACTTAAAAGTCTATAGATCCTTTCAATATCTCTCATAAATCAGATACTCATCCCTTGTTCTCTTACCTCTCTTATCAACTTTGTCTGACTGCAGCCAGCATGCCTAGGCGTCAAAGGAATAAGCACCGCAACCGTGCGAAGAATAAGAATCACAATCAAGAGAAAAGCTGTTGTGAAGGAGACTATTCTCAGGATGACAAGGAAGCCTCCGAGGATAGTGTAACAGTAGAAGAAGTGGCTCTTTGCTCTTCCTCCTCTGTGCTTGAGGAGATTCCTGAGAATCCAATTGCTTCTGAATCAAGTAGTGATACTGAGTGGTCTACCTGTGTACCATCGGCCGTCACTGTTTCTGAAGATCGTATAGCATTTGATGAAAGTAATTACTGCCATTGTGGAGGGAACACATTTTACTCAGAATCTCGAACCTGTCATGAAAATCCATGCAAAAATTGCCTAGATATGTGTGCGGTTTTAGTGGAACAATGTGTTCTCTACACATTTAAAATGAAACAACCCATTACCAGAGATGATTTGCTAAATGTTATTGACCCAAAATATCAATATAGATTTGATGAGATATTTAAGAGAGCTTTTGAGAACATTGAAACTGTGTTTGCAGTTAATGTGATTGAAATTGACTCAACTAATCACTTTTATGATTTAGTCAGCAAGCTAAAACTTCCTAACAAGGGAAGGATTAGTGCTGGCCGGGGTTTACCAAAAACTGGTCTTCTTATGACTCTCCTGGCTATGATTTTTATGAAAGGTAACTCTATTACTGAGGAAGAGATCTGGAAATTCCTGAGAATTATGCAAGTGTTCCCAGGAAGGAAGCATTTCATCTATAGAGAGCCACGGAAACTCATCACTCAAGATTTGGTGAAACTGAAGTACCTTGAATACCGGCAGATACCCAATAGTGATCCTCCACACTATGAGTTTCTATGGGGTCCACAAGCTTACACTGAAACTACCAAGATGAAAGTCCTAGAATTTATGGCTAGAGGCAGTGACACTGAACCTACTACTTTCCCAGTACAATACGCAGAAGCTTTAAGAGAAGAAAATCAGAAGATGAAGGAAAAATCTGGATTCACTCCTGGGACTAAATCAGTGGCCAAGCCAAAACCATCACCATGTCCAGAGGGTGCTGACAACTCAGTATATTATGAGTCTTTGCCTTCTGGCAAAAAACCATGATGTCATAATTGAGGTTTTCTTCAAAGCAAGAAAAAAAAATAACAAAGAACAAGAGAATTAAATATCAAGTAATAAAGGATGACCAATTTTTGATCATCTGTTTTAGTTTTTTCTTAAATAAAATTAAATATTTTACATAGTGATAGGATTAAATTATTAAATATGTAAGAGCCATTGAGTTTTAAGAAATTAGGCTTTTGTTTTCTGACAAAAGTTTTCTCTGTGCAGCCTTGGTTGTCTTGGACTCACTTTGGAATAGGCTGACCTTGAACTCAAAGAGATTTGCCTGCCAGTGCCTACAAAGTACTGGAATAATAGGAATGTACCACTTTGCCTGGCAAGAAATTAAGCTTTTAATTTTTTTATATTAATTACAGTTTATTCACTTTGTATCCCAGCTGTCGCTCACTCTGTTATTCCCTTCAAGACCCATTCTTCCTCTCTTATCTCCTCCCTTGCTCCTCTACAAGTCCAGTGATAAGGGAAGGTCCTCCTCCCCTTCCATCTGACCCTAGCCTATCAGGTCTCATCAGGACTGGCTGCATTGGGTTAGTAAGGCTGCCCCACCCCCATCAGTGGGAGATGATAAAAGAGCCATCCACTGAGTTCATGTCAGAGACAGTCACAGTTCCCCTTACTAGGAAACCCCCTTGGACACTGAGCTGCTGTGGGCTACACCTGTGAACGGGTTCTAGGTTATCTCCATGAACGGTCCTTGGTCGGAGTATCAGTCTCAGAAATGACCACTGTGCCCAGATTTTTCAGGTCTGTTGCTGTTCTTGTGGAGCTCCTGTCCTCTCTAGGTCTTACTATCTCCACCTCCTTTCACAAGATTTCCTGCACTCTGCCCAAAGTTTGGTTATGAGTCTCAGCATCTGCTTTGATGCGCTGATGGGTAGTGTTTTTCAGAGGCCCTCTGTGGTAGGCTCCTGTCCTGTTTCTCACTTTCTCCCTCTTCCAATGTCGGCCACATTTTCCTTTCTTAGTTAGGATTGGTCATTTTACCCAGGGTCTTCCGTTTTGCTTAGCTTCTTTAGATATACAAATTTTAGTATGTTTATCCTATATTATATATCTAATATCCACTTATAAGTGAGAATATATCATGTGTGTCTTTCTGCTTCTGGAATACTTCACTCAGGATGATCTTTTCTCGATTCTACCTTTTGGAATATTGAATGGCAGAGAAACACTTAAAGAAATGCTCAACCTCATTAGCCATTAGGGAAATGCAAATAAAAATGACCCTGAGATTTCACCTTACATTGATTAGAATGGCTAAGAGAAAAAACTCAAGAGACAATACATGCTGTAGAGGATGTGGAGAAAAGGGAACCCTCCTCCATTGATGGTGGGAATGCAAAGTTGTACAACCACTTTGGAAATCAATATGTTGCTTTCTCAGACAATTAGCAATAGTGCTTCCTCAAGAATATAAAAAACATATGCTCAAGTATACAACAAGGACATTTGCTGAACCATGTTCATAGCAACTTTATTCATAATAGCCAGAATTTGGAAACAACCCAGATGTTCTTCAACTGGATGTATGGATGCAGAAATTGTGGTACATTTACACAATGGAATACTTCTCAGCAATTAAAAATAGGGAAATTAAGTTTTTTAATCATTATGTTTCTTAAGCTCAAGTATCAACTGTGTATCTTCTTTTTGATATAGTGGCAAGCAAGTCTAATTTCTACCCATATAATTTTATGAGCAGGAGCTACGAGAAAAATTATTGTATATTCCTCTACAACCTCAAGGTATTGGGAAGGAATAGTGATAATGTTAAATTTTTAAAGCAAATAAGCTTGAATTTTCAATTTTGGGAAGTTTTGAGGGAATACACTGTGATATAATTTGAAATTATGATATGTGGTAAGCTATATGAGGCTAAGGGATTGGTTAAAAGAGGACAGACTTTTGGGGTATGTATTCCAATGTTGAGAGAAAAGAGCCTTAAATGGAAAACTGAGTGAATTCAAGATGGTGTTCAGATACCACGCAGGGTATCTGGATAACTTCCTGGGACTAGCAGGGTATGGTTCTGACAAATCTCACCTTCTGTGGACACTTTCCTGAGAGCCCCTCACACAGCTCTGGTTCCACAGCCTTAGGCCACCTACCTAAGCTCATTTTCTGTGGATATCTTCAGGGGATCAGTTGCTGGTGGCTCTGCATTGGGCACTCCCTCTCACTGCCTGTGGAATGAATTCTTTCCTGTACTGCAGGTGAGGCTCAAAAATCTGGTACCCACACTCACAGTCTAGTTTACACCTTCTGGTAACTAATGGCTCCTGGTTCCGAACTCAAGAGCCCACTCTCACCATCTCGTGGAAACCTTTATGGTTGTTGCAGCAAGAGGCACTAATTCTCACCATCCTGTGAAGGGGATAACTTCTGGAAATGTTGGTGAGGCACTGCTCTATTCTGCCAGCTCCCCACCTGCCTGGCTCATCCAGTTCAGAATCAGCTGGCACAACACAGACAGTGAACACAGCAAAGCTTAGTTAGGCATTGGACTCAGTTTCTATTGTCTTCCTCCCAAAGGAAGCCTGTGGGACACTGGGGCAGATCTAGGCTCAGAGATCTTTCTGCCTGCTCCCCAGCAGCCTTGCCCACATGGGTCAGAAACAATGAGCCCATCATAGCCAGTGAATTCAGTGAAGCAGAGCCAGGTATGCGACAAAGATCCCATTCTCCGCCATCCTAAGGAAGCCTGTGGGGCACAGGAGAAGCTTTAGGCTCCATCTTCCTCCACGGAGCCAGACCACAGAGACTCTTAGAGACTCCAGAGAGACTCTTAGCACAGAACTTACTGCCTAGGGAACGAGACAGCAGAGGTGGGTCTCCTAGCTCTTCAGCAGTGGCTGCAAGTTGTACCAGCATTCCAAGACCCAGATCTGCAGTACCATCCTTCCGGGTCTGGAGTCTGCGAGCAGCTGTACAGACCCCCAGGGCCTACTAGCCAGTGACTGTATGGACCGCTCAATCCCTCAGTGGCGGACAGCTGGTTGTACAGCCACCAAAGTCCAGCAGACTCACTAAACCATCCAGGTACACCACGCACCAGGACACCTAGGTGTGTGGACCACTGTTGGGGCTCCAAAGAACTTCCAAGCAGGTACCTGGACCTGCCACCTAGTTCCTGCTGCTGCAGCTGGACCCTCAAGTTAGGCGGCTGCAGCAGCACTGAACTGAACTGAAGGAGTTCCTACACCCGTATATGAGCCAGCAGAGCCAAAACTGAGAGTAGAGAATAGGGGGAACCACTGTGTTTTTGGATTTGACCTGCTAGAGAGTGAGTGTCCCTTCAAGTGCCTGCAGAGCCCCAAATACAGGGTCCTTCTAAGCTAACATCCAGACAGCAGATCCCTCCCACTTACACACCCACTGTGGGAAACAGAGGGACAGTGCTCAACATTGAAGCCCCTGTTCTGCAGTTCTATCTGTAGAGTTCAGGCAAATAACTGCTGGAACTCAGACAGACATGAATACCAGTGACCTGAAGGTCATTGAGGTATTCAGGGAATCTACACAAGCGAATTGCACCAGGAAAGAATTCAAATATCTGCAATCTCTTTGGTGCATTCACAGTGCCACTGCCACACACTTCAGTCATCTACATTCTCTAATACCTGTCCTTCAAGGCACACTTTCACTCACACACACATGCACACCCACACTCAATCCTGCATTTGTCTTTCTGCACCCAAGATTCTTCCTTCCTCAGGTAAACTTGAATCACCAATGCAGTTTCAAACCACTCGACCTCTCCCCTCTTCCTGAAGAATTCTCCAGACATCATTGAAAGACAGTACCAGTCTGAACTGCAGAATCCAGGAACAAACAGTTTAGGTTACACATAAGCAAATGGGCAGAGGTCAGCTTAAGAACACATCCAACAAAAATCAGGACATCATAGCATTACCAGCAGCCTCCCAAAACAATGCATACTCCAATTCATCAAAAACACAGGAAAATGATTTTAAAGCTACGCTTATTCAGTTAGTAGAGACACAAACGAGGAAACAAACAAATCTCTCAAAGAAATACAAGTAAATATAGCCAAACAATTAGAGGCACAATTAGTGGAATGTAGAAAAGAAACCAAAAAAAAAAAAAAAAAAAAGAGACTATCATAGAGAGACAGGAATCCACATTCAAACACATGAAGGAAATGTTGCAAGGCATGAAAACAGAATTAGAATCAATAAAGAAAACACAAACAGAGAAAACCCTGGAGCTGGAGAACTTAGAGAAAATATCAGGAACCACAAAAGTAAGGACCACCAACAGAATTCAAAGATGGAAGAGAGAATCTCTAGTGCTGAAGATATACTTGCAGAAATTGATACTTACCTCAAAGAAAAAGTAAAATCGGAAAAGTCCGAAACACAAAACACCCAAAAAATCAAGGACTCCATGGAAAGACAAAATCTAAGAATTATAGGAATTGTTGAAAAGGAAGATTCCAGGCTCCAAGGTCCAGAAAATATTTTCAGGAAAATCATAGAAAAAAAATTTCCCAACATAAAGAAAGAGATGTCCATAAATTTCCAGGAGGCCTACAGAACACCAAATAGACTTGACCAGAAAAGAAACACATCATGTCACATCATAGTCAAAACACTAAATCTACAGAACAAAGAAAAGGTATTAAAAGCAACAAGGGAAAAAGGCCAAGTAACATATAAAGGTATACCTATCAGAAAAACACCAGACATCTCATCAGAAACCCAGAAGGGCCTGGGCAGATGTCATGTAGACTTTAAGGGAAAACAGATGCTAACCCAGACTACTATACCATGCAAAGCTTTCAATCAAGATAGATGGAGAAAAAAAATACTCCATGACAAAACTAAATTTAAACAATACATCCACAGCAAATTAGCCCTACAGAAGATGCTAGAAGGAAAACTCCAATCCAACGAAAACAACTACACCCAAGAAAAGACAGAACACAGATAATTTCCCAACAAAAATTAAAAGAAAAG